GCTTAGATAGGATGCTAACCATGATAAGGTGGGTCCTCGGATACCGTAGGATTCTAGTTTTTTTAATAGTCTCGGGTGAGCAACACAATCGAAGGCCTTTGACAAGTCAAAAAATAACCCCGTTGTTAAATATCTATTATTTAGATTTGTCAATATTGTTGACATAAGATCAAACATTGCCAGCGATGTAGATTTTGCTTTTTGAAACCCATATTGCTCTTTTGTTATGATTTTGTATTTCAAACAAAAACTCATGAGCCGGTTTAGCATGCATTTTTCGAAGACTTTTGAAAGGATCGGTATTAACGTAATAGGACGATAGTTATCCGGATTCTCTCTGTCCCCTTTCTTATGTAATGGTTTGACTAAAGAGATTTTTAGTTTATCAGGAAACGTTCCTGATATAAACGATGTATTAACCAGGTGTGTAAGGACCTGTGTTAGTTCTGTAGTGCACATCTTTAATATCTTTGTACAAATATTATCATATCCTTCAGCGTTGGTATTATTTAAACACATGATTTCCTTTTTTACTTCTTCAATGGTCATTGGTTGTAAATACATTGAATTGGCTAGTGATGGCAATTTTTGGTTATCTTTAGTTAAGTTTATTGATGGCGATTCAGTCAAATTTATGAAGTAGTCATTAAAAGCAGTAGCTATGTCATTTGGATATGTCAGTGATTTATTATAAATTTTTAGATTAGTAATATTGTCATCAATTTTAGTATTATTAATTTCATTTTGGATTACTGACCATGTAGCCTTACATTTATTTTTGCTCTGATTTATGAATTTCATAGTAGTATTTTTTCGCGAATAATGTATGCATTTATTTAAAATATTAGTATATGATAAGTATTTGTTTTTGTTTTCTAATGTTTTGCTTTTGTAATATCCGAAGCGCAGGTGTCTTTTTGTTTTACAACTAATTTTAAGACCAGGGCTTATCCATTTTTGTTTTTTCCTTTTCACGTAATTGATTTTTTTTCTTATATTTGGAAAACATAAGTTGTAAAAAAGGCTCAATAAGTCATGAAAGATTCCGAAAGCTGTATTGAAGTCAGGTTCATTATAAACTTCGGACCACGATAGTTTAGTTAAACATTCCCTAAATTTTTCAATGTTTTCAATACAGTAATCTCGTTTGTAAACAAAATAAGATTTAGGTTTTATATGTATTTGTTTCATGGGAAAGCTGAGTAGTTGAGCTGTATCATGGTCTGATAAGCAAAGAGGTAAAACCACAGATGTTGCATTTTTTATATTACTAAAAATATGATCGATGCAAGATTCTTTCCGCGTGGGGGTGTTAATATGTAAAGTTAAGTTGTAGTTGTTACACAAATCTTTTAAATAATTGTTGACTTTGCCTGGTTGTAATGTGTTGATATTTATGTCACCTGCAACAACAATTTTTGTATTTTTTTTTATAACGTCTACATATTTCGTGTAGAACCAGGTCTAATTTTGACATGAAGAGGTAAGGATCGGAAGCAGGTATTCTGTACAGGCATATTGTTATCAAATTTTGAAGTGGCATGAAAATACCACAAGCTTCAAAAGTTTTTTGAATTGCGTGGTCTTGTAGAATATTTAATTTTTCATAAGGCAATCCTCTTTTTACTAATATACAAGTTCCACCCCTTTGTTTATTCCTGCAGAACTCTGATGCAAGTTCGTAATCTGCGATTTTCAAGTATCTAAGAGAGTCAGGTTTTAAAAAAGTTTCAGAAAAACACATTATGTCGGGTTCATGATTTGTTTCATATAGTTCGTCTAATGCAAGTTCTAAAAGATTTTTCTTAGAGAGAATACTAGCTATATTTTGGTGCAAAATTTTAAATAAAGGCTCCTTCACTTCAGACTTTTGGGGAACGAAAAAACTGTCGGTTTTTAATTACGGGAAAGTAATCAGTGATTGTACCTTTTTTCTTAATATCAGTCTTTTCGGTAAAATCCCGCGTAGACAGGGTAGCAAAATAGTAAGGGATTGTACCTTTTTTATTTTTTCTCGTAATATTATTGTGTGTCATTGGATTATTACCACGCTCGATTAACTTTTTTATTTGGTGTACATCAAGATACTTTTTTCTATAGTCAATAGTGTCGATAGCAAAATTAAGAGATTTACACATGTCGAAAATTGAATCATTGTCAGAAGTTACAAAATGAGACATCTCAAAGTCATTACAAATATTTTGAATACATTTGTTTATGGCATATACATTAAGATATCTGTTATTAATTACATTTATTACAAAGATGTCATTATTCTTAAAATTAATTAATAATTGACGTAATTGATATTCCAGTATATTAATGTCATAATCATTTTCTCCAATACATACTATAAGTTTGTCGTTGGGTGATAAACATTTTGAAAAAGGAATACGCTTTTATTGTGCAGTTATGATTATTAAATAAAATTACGAAACCGACGAGGCCGTATGAGCTTGATGCCTTTGCTTTTCCGACACAAAAATATTAGTCTAGGAATTTGCCGCGTTTTTGTTTTCTTCAAATAATTAAACGTTAAGTTTATTTTAATTTATTTTTATAAATAAGTTAATGTACTAAAAATACGTTACGATGTTAAATTAAAGGGACAGTGACAGTGAATTGTCGGATTCCATCAATGCAAATGCTGCCGCAATTATAAATAATTTGCTTCCAACAAAATCCAAGGAAAATTATTTAAAAAATTTCAACGTGGAGAAGTGCGAAAGGCCTATCAATTTCAGAATCAGTACTTCTTGTCTATTTTGATTATTTATCCAAGACAAAGAATCCGAATACACTTTGATGCCATATACATACTCAAAACTGAAAGCATCAAGCACAGCTTATCTCATATTATTATTGTGTTAATTTTTTCGCAAATGGTACGAAAAGTAGAGTATTTTCCTCGGTGATAAAGCTGTCTTAGTCTTGGGTGAATTTAATCCCTCGCTACACTCAGGACTCGTCTTAAATCCCTCGCTTCGCTCGTGATTTAAGTTTTTAACAACCTCGCTACGCTCGGGAGTAAACCTCGAATCGCGAGCGTAACAAAACGCTCGCGATTTAAATCGTCACCCGCGACAGAAGGCACTGTTTTATCCTGCTTTATCCCCTTGGTTAATAATCTACTATTTCAAAATTAGCATAAATCAGCTTATAACTTAGAACAAACCTACAAAATGGTTTTTCTTAAACTTGCTAGTTCAACTAAAGGCAGGTAAGGTAAAAATACTTAATTACAAATTTTACAGTTATCAATAAACACGATAAACTGGATGAAAAAAATCATCCGCACATTGAATGTAGGGGGTTTCCCACCTTAAAAATATTAGTCAGTCTATCTTTTCAGTAGGACACATCTTTTAATTTAATCTAGCCTATATAGCATCCCACTGCTGGGTGAATGCCCCCCCTTCTACTCTTAATACGCATATAAATAAAATTAAAGGAAAACTCTGGATGACACTAGACTGACTTTTTCACTTATACTTACGAGTTTACAAGAAAAAATAATCGAATGATTAATTTTATTCTACTCGAACATTACACAAATTAAATAAAAAAATTGCACTAAAATATTAATTTCACTCAAAATTTGGTCAAAATATAATGCATTGGACTAAGAGTGGCGATGATACCAAGGTCAAGGTGTCATGTAGCACCTGGTTTTGTACCCTTGTGTACCCTTCAACGGCCAAGTCACACAACATTAACTATAATAATAAAGAAATCACTGTAAGGAACCTTAGACTTGGCACGACTTTGTCTAGATTTCATTACTTTTTAGAGATAAACAAGCAGCTCCATCGAGACTTGGCTAGTTTTTTACAGAATGTTTTTGGTGGGATAAAATATTTTTCATCCCCGAGAAGGGGTTGTATTATTTGTAATATTTTGTTGTTCTTAATCATCTTATGAACTTCCTAACCCGTCTGTCAAATAGATTCCAAGTCTTGCAAGAAAATCTAGCCGCCGATAACATGCAGAAGCGAACTTATTAAAAAAATCAGCAGTAGAGGTGGAAAAAATTAAGTGCGAACCTTGGAGACAATGCCATTGTACCTAACTTCCAAAGTTAAGTTTGAATAACAAATGCACTCTATGGAGCTGTAGTTGTTGGCAGGACCGTATTTAGAGGTGGGGAGGCCCTGGGGCAACGAAATTCTCTATTGTGACTGAGTGCCCCTTTGTTGTCCTGGGCCACAGCACCACCAGCTCTGCCCTAAATCCGGTCCTGGGTATTGGGTAAGTGTTTGGTTTGGTATGTTTAGTTGATACGGTTGAAATTGGGTTGAAAGCACCGAGTTGATGATACCTACGTTAAGCCGGTTGTACACAGGGTCAGTAACTGACTCCGAATTTGAGCCAAGTCAGTGCTAACCCGCTACTGACTTAGTGTAAATTGGTTTGGATTCAATGTAGCACTGTTGCGTCAGCGCTGACTTCAATATTCCCGCTTGAATATTTTGGACTCAGTCCGCTCCCCCCGCCACCCACGCCAGCGGTACTGACCAGGTGTAAACAAACAAGTCAGTGCGCGATCAGGCACAGGTGATACGTTGTAGGGTGACCTCAAATGTCTATTGAAACGATAATGACGCGTTAGTAAGCTAAGTAAGGTGCGCGTAAGTTAAGTGATAACGAAACATTAAAATTAGTGCAATTATATGGCGTCTCTGGAGTATTAAATCTCAAAATCCTGACAAAGAAATGCACACAACAGCTTTGCAAAATATTGCCCAGCAAATGAATACCGAAGGACTCTCAACTACAGAATATATATATCCTGCTGTTCTTTCCGACCCATTTTTCCGTCCGTACTGACCTCAATAACGTGCGTACACCGTGAACAAATTATAACAACTACTGACTGTCTAAAGTCAGTCAGTGCGGTCAGTTCTCGGCGCCAGCACTGACGCCATTTACTGACCCGTTACTTACCCAATATAAATGAGCCTTTATAGTGGCAAATCAGAAAATCTAAAGGCTATGTGTATACCTACAATAACATGGCATCAGAACAAAACATATTTATTAACAATATGGAAAATTTTGAAAATTTAAGCTATTTACACGTAATAGTTAAAATTATTTTACTCGTTTCTTTCATAAGTTTTTGTGCACGTTTAGTTCCTTACGTTGCGACGCCGTGAAACAAAACGCAACACGTCTTACTCTTTGACGCAAGAAAAAAACTTGTTTTGTGAACTTTTTTATTTTAACATGTAGAAAGAAACCGAACCGTGTGAAAATCGTTTACGAACAAAGTTAAATGGCATAAATCAACGTTACAATAGTTTAGTTAAAACAGTAATGTGGTTAAGATAATAGTAAAAGAAATGGCTTTCCTATGTCCAGTCAGAATAAGAAGGGGAAAGAAGAAGAAATGTAAGTTTTATGAGCTTTCTTAATAGGATTTGAGTCATTGACCTCGTCTTTCTATATAATTTATAATTATGAATTTGGTCCTGACAAACGACTTCCAAAAGCTGCCGGTTAATTAACTGAAAATCTCCTCAACTCATTACAATACTTACATCTAACTGCATTAATTGATTTGGCATGTCCAGGGAAAACCTTGCTTTTATTGCATTTTTAAATTAAATTGATGAACTAACACATTTAGCAAAGCCAGTGCGTAATTATTGTACTAATAATTACCAAATAAACTTAAAGGTACCTGTATTTAATATAGATCCTACTTTAGTATGTTTTCTTTGAGAGATCACAAAGTGGAAAAATTCTAGATAGTACTTAGTTTTTCTAAATAACTATATTTATGTGGCATTTGGAAATCAATCCATGGACTCAAAGAAGAGTTATACACTCTTTTGTATTCAATGTACTCTATAATAAGTAATGATATTGTAGACAATAAGCTGGTTACTTATTATCACTGAAACAGTGAATGCAACAGCAAAAAGCAGATTTAAGATTGATATTTATAAATGTAACTATCAAAAGGACACTAGTCCGAAATAAACTACATATTACTATTTATCCACATTGTTTATCTATCGTCTGGTACTTAGCCAGCCCACAGAAAATTAAAATGACATTATATTTATGACTCACCCCAATACATTAACATTATTGCAGCCAGTAGTGGTGACTCTGATAAAGACTTATCAAGACCAAGCTCAGGGTTGAGCCCTGGTATGGGCAGAATAACGGGATCAGCAAGCATCGAGACACTTGTTAGAGTTGGCATAGAAAAGGAACATGGACTCAGTCCAGATTCTAAGATGGTGGTGCTGCATGACTTTGCACCTTGTGTGGATGATGAGTTAGAGGTATTTGAATATTTTGTAACCAATAGTAACAAAATAATAAAAAAACCTATAGAAAAAATTGTATGAAAATTTTTGGATTCATAAAATAAAGTGATTTAAGGCATTAAATAAAAATATAACAATTTTTTATCAACTTATTCTTGCAAATAAAGTTCATTTTAATGATACATTTCAATTTCAAAAAATCAACTTGTCACAGGTGATTCCAAACAAGATTGGAAGTATTGGAACTGGTTTGAAAATTTATTGTTACAAAACACTTTTGCAACTATTAAAAACTATAAAAGTGATTTGATAATATTTACAATTAAATAAATTAAATGCTTGGTACATTACATTACAACAATTTGTGTGAGAAGACTAATAAATCCAGTAGATTTAGTAATAAGTTAAATAACCCACAGTTTTAATATTACAGGTAAAACGTGGCCAAATTGTAAATGTATTATACAGAGAAAACGATTGGGTGTATGTAATTGTGGCAGAATCTAGGAGAGAAGGATTCATACCTCATTCATATTGTGCACCCTGCGAGCACCATGACTTGAAGAAGAAACTGCCTCGGAGTAGATCTCCGACAGACATGACACATAGAGATGTTTCACAGTAAGTCTTTAAAATACAGATGTAGTGTTGGCTATGAAAATTTTATTCTTAAAAAAAATCAATGCATAGCTAACATACAGCCAAGATTTGTTGGCATTTCTGTCGCCTATTATTTTTTTTAGATGTTCCTTTAATACATTGTATGTAAAATGGCCAGCTGGCAAAAAATAAAAAACTGATTACCTATTAAAATTAGGATTTTTTTAAATTTCCAGAAAGAGCCAAAAAATAATCTGATACTTTGCCAGAATTAAACCTTATGTATTGTGAATCAAAGATTGTGGCAATAAAGCCCTGTGTATGAAGATGTAAATTTTTATAAACTATGATTTAAGTGCTAAAATTAATATCTTGAAGTTTGTCAAAAAGCCCCAACTTTGAAGTACAAACCAATGCTATTCAGTAGAAGAATAACCTACCTGCAGGGCTGGATTTAGAGGTGTGGCGGGCCTTGGGGCCACAGCCCCGCCTGCCCTGCCTACCTGACTAAAGATTTGAACCAGAATTCTGACCTTTCCTTCTCTAATCATCTTATTTCTCTTCCAGATTGTCAGTATCAGATGGAGCAACAAATGATGGTCACTCAGAGCTAGGCAGCGAGGGTGAAGCATGCCCATTCAGCAAAGATCCTTCTGGTCGCTACGTTGTCCTCTATACATTCACTGCTAGGGATGAGAATGATGTTGATGTGGAGAGAGGGGAGTTTGTCACAGGTACAATGTTTATTGGTATTTAATGGAACGTCAAAACAGCACTTTAATTGCTGCTGCTGTTTTTATGTTAGTTCTCATACTGTCACTTTCTGTACAAAAGTATAATTAATTACACACAACTTGATAAATGACAGAACTTACTGGTTTTGTAACTGTTCATAATACTTTTGATAAATATTGTGCTATAAGAAACTTTAAATCTTCTGTAAGTTTAGAAGAAAAATACTTATTTTGTATCCTTTAAAAAAATCCTAACCATTTTCAGTACTAAATAGAGAAGATCCAGATTGGTATTGGATAGTGCGAAGTGATGGCCAAGAAGGCTTCATTCCATCGGGCTTTGTTTATCCAGCTGTTGTTCAAGGTATACAATATTTTTTATACTTTTAAGAATAATCCACATTTTTTAAAGTTTATTTACTTTGGTTGAGAGTGTAATGGGTGACCAAAATATAAATTGTCTTTAGTTCTTTGTTTCCTCTACCTTCCCTACCTGAGATACGGTGTGAAGATTGATAGTTTAGAAATTCATAACTAATAGGCACCAAAGCTTTTTATTACTATAATATTCCAAATTTGATGTCATCCACCTATGTGTCAGCAGGACATTAGCTTTTAATTATTAAAATGTACCTTTATCAGCAATAAAGGCTTTTGAATTTTCCAAATTCCAGGTTGGTTTATTGATCCCTTCGCTATCAAGTGAATGAACTGAAAGCATATTATATATTACATAAATAATGTTCGTTTTTAGCTTCTCAACAGGACAACACGCAACAGATGCATTCGCCGCAGTCGAATCTCAACAGTACAATATTAAGTGGTAATAACACAAGTGTTAATACTATAACTCAACCGGACACCGATGGACGGTACCACGGGACTGAACTAGTCATGCTTTACGATTACAAGGTATATAGTTGAATTGATTGATTTAGGTAGTATAGAGTTGAATAATTAAACTATAAATAACTAGCTGCCTTCCCCTACTTCGTCCAAATTAACTTTGGTTTTTTAAGAATCCCCCTGGATCCTCACATTTTTCTGGGATAAAAAGTATCCTATGTCTCAGTCTGGGTCATATTCTATAAACGTACCAAGTTTCCTCCGAATCCGTTCAGTTGTTTTTGCATGATTGAGTAACAAATATACAAGCTTTCACATTTAAAGTAGGTATTGGTGTCGATTCTGGCATGATTCTCTAAACTTAAAACTAAATTTAACTTCAGTCTCTTCTTTTCATTCTATATAAAGAATGACAAGGATACATTATTGTCAAATTTAGGTTTAGAGAATCATGTCAGAATCGACACCATTAGTAGGATAAATATTTCTTACAGCCTAGCCTCAAAGTAAGCAATGTGTAAATAAACATCTTCTGTTATGAAAAACTGTTGAAAACCGGTGCAAACGGTTATAGCGCGTTCGGTCGGTGATCTTGAAAGTTAAGCATCTTTCCCAGTGGCTGGATTTTGGATGGGTGACCAAACATTTTGAATCTCCAGCTCCTGTGAAAGCACGTTCAGTCGTTGGTCCCGACTGCATCTGCAGTCGTTAGCACTCTAATAATGATGGCGAGGAAATATTGAATATATTCCAAATTCTACTAATATAATAAACTAGCGTCTGCCCGTGACTTCGACCGCGTATTTTTTTTGAGAATTCCTAAGAATCCTAACACTTCTTCCAGGATAAAAAAACATCCTATGTTTCAAACCAGGTAATTTACCATATGTATACCAAATTTTATCCAAATCTGTTCAGCTGTTTCTAAGTGATAGAGTAACAAACTTATACATTTATAATGCCGGCACTTGGTTATTTGTATTTGTATACTTGACAACAGTCTGCCCTTATCATGCTTTATAAGGATTGAAAAGGACAGACTGATGTCAAGCTTACAAATATCAAGCACAAATAGCCAAGTGCCGGCCGGCATAATATTAGTAGGATTATGAAAGTTTTTATGTCTGGATCATGACAGGAGTGGATTTCTTTCTTGGAAAACTTTTTTAGATTTTAAAGTCTGGCAGTTCAATGCTTAAAATGATAATAATCTATACATCTAAATAAAATTGGATTCTCTTTTTGTAATATTGAATGTACTTTTAACTGCATGCATACAAGGGCGGATCCAGCTTTGGCGCCAGGGGGTGGTCATATAGTCGTGGTCAAGTCACAGTGGGTATAGATTGTGAAGTACAGATTGTAAAGTGGGTACAGATGGACCCAGCCCAGGGGGGGGTCATGACCCCCATGTCACCCCCCCTAGATCCGCCCTTGCATGCATATGAATATATATATATATATACCGTACATACACCAAATTATTTTTTTTATAATTTTTGTCTGTCTGTTTGATCCAGCTAATATCTGAAACAGCTAGACCGATTTTGACGGGACTTTTATTGGCAGGTAGCTGATGTAATAAGGAGTAACTTAGGCTACGTTTATTTTAGAAAAAAAAAACAAAAGTTGACGCGGACAAAATCGCAGGTGGCGGCCGCTAGTAAATAATAGTAATTTGTTGTCATCATCATCAACAGGCGCAGGCGCCAGACGATCTATCAGTGAAACGCGGCGAATGGGTGTACGCGGACCTCACGCAACAAACAGTGGAGGGGTGGCTATGGGCGCACGCGCCTAAATCCAGGCGCTCCGGGTTCATTCCCACCGCGTATGCTAGGGCTCCGCACACTACATCACTCTGATGGACATTCCTTATGATGCCAGATTTAAGGCGGGGCTGTAACCCAAGGACACATAAAGATTGGGGGGGGAGGATCGTAAGTGGTCCGGGGTGCGCCAGATTTTAAATTAGGGGCCTCGAAATTCCAACCAAACCTATGATCGGCGTGTTGATCGCAGTTTTATCGATCCGCCCACTTGATCGCAGTTTGCGTGGAACCACTTTTGTGTGGTGTACTAGTCCAGGCGCTCCGGGTTCATTCCCACCACGTATGCTGGGGCTCCACACACTCCTTCACTCTGATGGACATTCCTTAAAAATCTCATAAAATTTACCTGTTTGGTATACAAATTTGATCGATTACAGACTATATTTGATGCATTTTACAGACTATATTTGATGCGTTTTACAGACTAATTAGTACGCAAAACGTGAAGTTTGTTAAAGAACTTTGATCATTTACAGGGCCTTTTATAATGCGGGTCTTCTGCATATAGATCTACTTTTTGAAAGTGGTCGCATACTAGCTTCAATAAAAACCTGTAATTTTTGTAATAAGCCTTTTTGTATTTACCGTGTACTTTGTATGTATATGCAACAGTGCCACAATATCCATATGGACATTCCTTATTTTAAAGGGGTTGTCAGGGCCGTAGCCATAGTTGCATTTGGGATAGAGCAGCGGTGATTATAAATAGGGCATAAACAGGATTTGCTGCAAAGTATTAGTAAGTCAAATGTCGATTTTTTTTTTTAAGTAAGGCATTGCGTTATGCCGCACCCCCGAGCCCCGGCTACAGCCCTGGTATTTGTATACTAGTTTCAATAATCAACCTTCAGTAAAAGGTATAGATAACCTGTAAATTTTGTTATTAGCGCAATTGCTACCGTGTACTTTGTACGTACTTGTAACAGTGCCAAAACATCGGGGGCACCTTGCCCCTTGTGTAGTACTTATTGGGAAGCAAAAAACAATTCGCGTCAAAATCTTCAATCTTTTGAATAGAAGCTGCTAAAGGGTTCATGAAACGTTTCGGAGGACGGGTAAAATCTTGATCTGTCGGTTTGCATAGTGTGAACGTCGTACAAATATAGGAAAAATAATCGAGCGCTTCAGACATTAAGAAGGGATTTTACATTACAACTCTCTAGAACCATTTGGGCGCGATGGCCATCATGGAAGCTTCCATCGCGATGGAAGTCATGGCCTTTTATTGCCATATTTTTTTTTTGCCGCACTCGACTATCTGCTCTGCGTAATGGGGTCAGGTATGGTGGGGAGCACTTCACAAGGTCCAAACTCACCCCCCTTAAGTTATTCTGCCGCGTTTGAGTAAATCCAAAAATCCCCGCTTGGGCGACCACCTAGCATAGTTATCCCCCCTTTTAACATATATTACTATAATGTTAGCCACCATGATACCATGAAAGTTTAAAACGATACAGAGTTCTTAGTAACTTTGTCATTACAATCTTAGTAATAAAAATATCTGGGCGACAAAGCTCTTAGAAGCCCATCTGTTACTACTTACTGTTTGTTTATTGAAACTGGCTACCTACTGGCTAAGTTACTGTACTACAAATGCGTTGTTTGTAAAATTACACTACTGACTTTGGTATTTATTTACTTCGAAAGAATTATTAAATTAATAACCTATGCCGATAGTCTTGCTTGAAAAGTTTAGTTAAATATTTTTAATGCAAACAATAACAAAGATCATGTTTTTTTATTGTTTGTAAATTTAATATTTTTAATACATCTACTTAAAAATAATGTTTATTATTGGTTTATTACAGATTTACTTTTCATTATCTAAACCGCGATCACAGTTGGTGACTAATCACCTCTCAAACATTTTCAGAGCGTAGAATGAGTAGATAATATCAAATATGTATCTAATGATTGTTTATATCGGTTAATTTAATTTTGTTTGATAAACTCCATTAACTGCATGAGCTAATTATCACCCCAGTTTACAGATCAAAAGGCAGATGGAACGCATGGAACACGCAAGTACGGCCACCAAAGCAAATATTATTCTGAAGTAAAGACCTTTTTTGTCTTTGTGAACAGTTTTTATAATGTTTGAACAATGCGGCACAGATTTGATAAAAACTAAATATTCACGGGACGTATTCATAACTCGATACGTTGCAGTGTGTACTGTCGCGAATTGATATTCGCTTTTGACTTCGTATTTGCTATGGTGCCACGCATTGCGTGTTCCGTACGCTCTATCCACCTTTTGCCCTGTAATCTGAGATTATCACATCATAGCAATTATGTATTCATAATTAAGATGTCTTCCATTTTATTGTTGCTCATGTTGTGTATCAATTTAGGGCAAGCGCACATTGAGCCACTAATCGCGACCAGTAGTAGCTCAGCCAAGCCACTGGACGCAGCCACCAATCTAATCGAGAGAAATCGAGTGGCCGCCACTGAAATGAAATCATACTCTTATTCGAATTGACTTATTGGAAGCTCTTTTGAATAGTCCCAATATTTTTTCCTGCCGCTTATTCAGGACATCTTTTAGCTGATGAGAAGACAGGGCGCAATGAACTCATCAGCGTTTAACAGAAGTAGCAATATTTACAAAAAAAACATGTCGCTTCTAATACAACGTCCACTCAAATTTTGATTGCTGTGTCACACAGTATTAGGTATAATAGATGACATCTCAATAGTAAAGCAGTATAGAGCAGACGCATCCCCGCTGGCAGCACCCGTTCACGAGCATGACGCATGAACCAGCCATCGCTTCGCTCAACCATATTTTAGGAAACGTAACGACCCGCCTCACACGACACGACAAAGCTACATATATATGTACTTACTAAACGCGGCTAGTAGTATAGTGGCGGCCACTCGATTTATCTCGTTTGGATTGGTGTCTGTGTCTAGTGGCTTGGCTGACCCACTAGTGGTCGCGATTAGTGGCTCAATGTGCGGATACTTTAAAATTTTAAATAATGTGAAGTTTTTCCAAAATATATTTTGAATAATAAATTTTCAAACCACTGTTCATACTATTAACGTACAGCAAACAGCTTATCAGTTTTACAATGAAGTGCCGAAGTCTCAGTTGATTTAAAATAATAAAATACAAGAATATACTGAAGGAATTTGACAATTTGAATATAACCTGATAATGCTGTTCTGTAAATATGAGTATAAATTATCCGTCCATAAATTGACTGATTTTATAATTTTGTTTTAAACAATAAGTAGGTAATATAAGACTGTATGTTATTACTAAAATAAATGTTTTTAATTTCTCTTCTATTTTTTACATTCCATCATAACCTACTGCATTATTACCAGTAATCCTGGTAAGGGCACTTATTTCCCTAAGGCTGGTTTGTAACTGCTTCATGTTTAAATCTAAAGAAAATGTAACTAGAAAAATTTCCACGCGGACCAGGCAGCAGACGGGACTCGAACCCGCACCCTTCGCAATCAGGGCGAATGCACTGACCATGCTTTAAAAATTTAAATTATAACTATAATTGCTATTTCTTCTTTCAAATGTTTAATACTTGTAAAAGTATTCATTTGACATTGTGGGTTACCTATAATGCGAAGAGATGGCGCTGCCTTGCAGCTTAAGAATGGCTAGAGGAATTTCGACGCGGTCCGTGGGGGCCGCGGTAGCATAATTGGTCAGTGCATTCGCCCGGATTGCGAAAGGTGCGGGTTCGAGTCCCGTCTGCTGCCTGGTCCGCGTGGATTTTTTTCTAGTTACATTTTCTTTAGATTTAAACATCAAGCAGTTACATGCTTTAAAAATTTAAATTATAAATATTTTTATGACTTTATGAAAATAATATCTTAAGACAACCTCTTAAGATTTATATGACCAATTTTAATAGTACTGGGTTTTTTTTCATGATAATGGATTTTTTTGGATTTTGAATACATGTCGTATTATCGGATCACTGCCCACAGATGCATAATAAAAACAATAGTTAAACTAATACTTAATATATTTTGATTTAAACTAAAATCTATTCAGAATCTTCTAGCAGCAAATGTCTCTTTTTCTTCTTGCCTTGCTGTTTAATTTCATTCTTTATTTTCCATTCATTGAATTGTTTTTCTACTTTCTTTATATCTTGATCTGTGACTGTAACAGGCAATTGAAGCTCCATCTGTTCACTTTTAATGAACTTTAATGCATTGAGTTTATCTTCTAAAAACGGACCTTGCTGGCTTTCTAATAAGTTCCTGTATTCATCTAATTTCTTGTTTCGTACATCCTCACAATGTAATTCAGTTAATTTTTTTAATGACTCTTTTCTTGATAGTTTATTATAAGTGCTGGAAACATTATTACAATCGATATAGAAATGAATAGATTCAATCAAAAGAAAAGGTAAAGATTTCATTTTATAAACACACACTTACTCAGGATGAGCTTTATATTCGATATTTAATTTTTCTAGCAACCACTCAAACTTTTTATAATCGTATTGTCTTAACAACTTCAATGTCTTCTTTCGTTTATCAATTAATTCTTGGCATGCTTTCTATAAAAAATGATTATAATTTTTGGTAATTAAGTAAATAATGAGTCAATAATTAAAATCAGAAGTGATCAATAACATAAACGTCACCTTTGCTATAACATTCTTGGGATGTTTGTCCATAGTTTCCTGAAGACATCTAATTTGAGCAGTCATTTTTGCAACTGAGAAATTGTGAAAAAATAAAATAATAAGTATAAAACAGGACTAGCACAGGAGCACTAATCAATTGTCAACTTAAATTTTAAAATTAACTATAGTATAACTTAACAGGCTAAACACGGGAACATACCTGCTTTTGTAAAAGCCTTAATTGAATTCTACAAACTGATATGAAATTCATTGATGTTTGCAAATACTGCAAGCAGGAGCATGAAACACATATGATGTGAGTGTGGGCCTCTAATCCACAAAGTCTAATATGGCATTAAAGACCCACCGATGAAACATCAAATCTCTAAAAGCTAGAAATAATTAAAGCTTCTTAAAAGCTATTGAGCTAAAAGAGATGATATACTTTCAGTATCAATATATCTATTTAGATCACATTAAAGACATATAGCTCTCAGTTTCAAATAATATTAAAATACTAATAATGTATCAAGTCACAAACCTTTGAATTCTACAGTAGTGTCATCATACTGATGTTGCTTGACTCTTTCTGTTAACGCTTCCTTCACCAACGTTTTATATTCTTTAGGTCCAAGATGAGCAACTGAAAATATCTTTTTCACTGATTCCGGAGCACTATAAAATAATTCTCAGATTATTATTATACAGTTACAGTTCATTAAAATTTAATAGGGTGTCAAACATGTTTTAGGTTATAATTGTATTTCAACTTACTCTTTTAACTCACCACTCAATGTATAATCTAGGCCCAGAGCATCATCTGAAATCTTAGGAATATTTTCTAAGTCACCAGACTTTTCTGCTTTGTATGAAGGAACATAATCGGGTCTAACCCATTTAATTTTTGCTTGTTGTTTTATTCCTCGGCATTGAACAATAGCCGAAGTTAAGCAACGCAACATTTTACACAATTAACTTGATTTGATAGAACAATTTATAATAAATCTAAATTTAATCTGCCTCTAAATTTAGGTGTTTAATTTCTTTCTTAGATCACTCCCAGTGCTGGAACACTCCAGGTGCAAAAACGTCACGTCAATTTTGACAGAAGTTCCATACATTTTATGTCAAAATTGAAACGTCAAGGTAACCCTGTGCTACATTTTTTTAGTTCTGTTCTTCTCCATTGGGAAAGGCAAAGCCATGCATCCATAGTCTTATTTTTGTATTATTCTTCTTTTTTTTTACATTATAATGTGGGTGGAAGAAGCTTATATACTGTGGGTGTGACTATAGATGTAAAGGGGCCCATATACGGAACGATTGATCTGTACGATCCGTCGTTTCAGACCAATCGAAACGATGGATCGACAGTGTATGTCAAGATCGTTAACGATTTACTTAATCGCAGACGATATCGGAGATCGCAACAAAAACCTATGCAATCATGAATATCGTAAACGATCGATCGTCAGTGTCCCATATACGGTACGATTGATCTGTACGATCCGTCGTTTCAGACCGATCGAAACGAGATGGATCGACAGTGTATGTCAAGATCGTTAACAATTTACTTAATCGAAGACGATATCGCAAATCGCAACCAAATCCCATGCAATCATGAATATCGTAAACGATCGATCGACAGTGTTTCGTGTATGTAGTGGCATTTCTGAACGATCGAACGTTGACGATTTCCTTCAGATCGATCGCAACGACGAATTGTTCCGTATATGGGGCCCTTAAAAAAACGATTTAAAACGTTTTAAACTAAATGTTGCCGTTTTAAACCCCAAATAAATCGTTTCAAACGGTTGAAAACCGGCATATAAAAATAAAAGAACTATGTTTTTTACACTTCATTATGGTCAACTTTTGGTCACCTGACGTCATGTTTCGTTTTACTTAGTAGGTATAAAGAAAATCAATAGAAAGTACCTACGTACATTACCTAGGTACCCCGAAAACTTAAGTAGGTATGTAGGTACCTTCATACGTAAGCACTTATTTATTATACGTATATTATATATCACACACTAGATTAAAAATAAAAGACATCACTAACACAATGCCGCCCGTTTTACTTGCGCATGAAAGAGAGAGTGCGAGAGTGTGAGTTTGGTTTTAAACCGAATCAAATTGATTTATATCGTTAGAAAACAATGTTTTTTTTTATTTAGCAACACAGAGTTTTTAACTTATGATAAGAGTTTTTATAACTTGGTAGGTAATACCTATGCTTGGTCGCGGATGGACCAACTAGAACTAAACTCGCTAAGTATATCAATATCAGTAAGTATATCACACATTTAAAAAATCTTTATACAGTTTATAAGTACTCCGTTATATTCCTACCTCGGTAAAATCAAAATAAAATCAGTTATAATTAAGAAAAACATAGTTTTCAACACCAACCGTTTTAAATCGGAAGAAATGGTTTATTTCCGTTTTAAACGGTTTTTTTCGTTTTAAACGGATTGGTTTAATTGGTTTTAAACCGGCTTAACATGTTTCAATGTTAAACAACTAATGTTTCTTGGAGTGTTTGGCACAAAATGTATGGAGTCAGCGTCAGCGTCTCAAATATACAGCTCTCAATAACCATGGGCCCATGGGGTCCAAGCGCTTGTTCCTTTTTTAAGGAAATATCAAAGAGACTCACCAAGTTACTGGTGATCAAAAGGCTGGCAGCTATCTTGGTCAACGGATCAGCCTTGCCATTCAACGTGGCAATGCTGCCAGCCTATTGGGCACCATCCCTGGCGGCGGCGCTGGGGGCACAGCGGTGACACTCTCTGTACGTGAGAGTTCCAGCGTCAGTGACCTTGAGCAGAAGCGTGTATGCGCTAGGGTTGAACTTGGAATTTAGACTTGTGCCAATAAATATTTATGCATAGTAAGTTATTAAATGTAAACTGATTCAAGGATACTGGGGTAAATAATGAAGGATAGGTTTGATTTTATAATCAATTTTTAATCTTTTAATGTAGGTACTATAACTAATTGTTAACTTTTATATATTTTCTCCTTTTTCCATTCGTTTTATACTAAATAATAATAAGATTGCGTAGCGTAGTCAGTCTGTGCGTGCAATGCAGTGCAACGCTATTATTTTACTATTTCGCTACTGCCATGCCCAGTATTGCCACCTTGGACTTTTTTAAGGCGCCAAGTCAAAGGTAAATAAGGCCGCGTACTCAGCCCCCACGCGCGGGCCTACCCGCGCACGTCTGCGAGGTCCCCGTGATACCCCGGAAGACCCCTGCCGTGGAGCCCTGGCTAGACCGGGAGGCTGCTAGGTGCGGAGACGCGGAAGAATCCCTAAACGGGGATCCTGCAGCTCCGTGCTAAGCAGCTTAGAGGGTATTCGCAGGATTTTTTTAGCGGATATTATACCGTAAAGCGCCCGTAAGAGTTGCGAGGTCCTTGGTGGGCAGCCACTGGGGGGTTCGTCAGACTTGCGGGAGCCAGGTGTGAGGTCCGTTCGGCGGTGTGCCTCTTAAAGGCAAATAATTAATTTTGGTATGATATAAAAGGGTACCCTCAGAAGCAGAGATGTGACATTTTTAAAATAAAAAGTATTTAAAATGCAAAAAATACAAAATGGAAAATACCTATTTCCATTTAGTATTTAAATACTTTTTTTTAAAAGCATTTTATATCTAAAGAAAATATAACTAGAAAAAAATCCACGCGGACCAGGCAGCAGACAGGACTGGAACCCGCACCCGAATTTTTTCTAGTTATATTTTCTTTAGATTTAAATATCAAGCAGTGACATGCTTTAAAAAAAATATAATTAAGCATTTTATATTTTATATGAAATACCTTTTAGGACATATTTTGTATTTGCAAAATGCAAAATACTTTTTGCTAAGTTTTGTAAAGATCGAAGAATTAATACAAATACAATCTTTAATTACAATCTTGTTACAGTAAACTATGTAACTTGGTCTGATCAGCTTCGTTTATTATCGACTCTTCGTATGAATTAGGGATTATTTGGTCACCTTACCGTGCGGTGAGTTTTCTTCCAGTGCTACCATTTTGCTTGTGTGCTTTGCGCGCTAGATCTAGCGCTTTTTTGGTGTGGTTAGCGCCTATTTCAAAATTTTAGCATCTAGCGGATAATCTCTAGCTTTTTCATTTATGTCATTATAGCACTCTATTGCCGATAATTTATGGCCTCGGCAAACCCCTCTATTTTTTTTATACGAGTATCAGAACTACACTTATCTATCGTTTTGTGTTGTGACGCGTCAGAGAGGTATCGGTTTCATATATTTAGAACTATACTTGTGTGTCGCGATGTGTCAACACCGTTCTCACTCTAACCGTACTACTAAATGTATAAAACCGATATATCTGTGTGATGCGTCACAGTGTATTTGAGCAAATTATTTTATTAAAATCTGTTAAGTAAATTTAATTTAAGTAAGTTATCAAAGTAAATTTACCAGCCTGTTAGCTGGTTAAAATAAATCTATACTATAAACCTAATAAAACTTTTCAACAAAATAAAGATAATTTAAAACTAAAAGTATTTTATTTTAATAAAGCATTTTGTAAATACCTATTTTGCATTTAGTATTTTAAATATAAAATTAAAAACTATTTTGTATTTGAAATAACAAAATACAAAAAGTATTTGCATTTTGCATTTAAATACATTTTATAACCTATTTTGCACATCTCTGCTCAGAAGCCTGCTACTTTTTGTTAAAAATATACAATAAAAGGATGAAATAGGAAAGTTTGCATAGGATCTTAGATTATTCTCCGACAAGTCGCGAGAAAAAATTACACAATGACGTATTGAACATTAATTTATTTATTGCTTTCAGAGTTCGAAACTTCAAACTTACAAAAAGTTAAGCAATATTTGTACTAAATGTACCACTCCACATGACTGTGACACTATTTATTTTACAATTTTATCATTTATAATAATTTTAACTTATCAAATGATTTATATGGAACCAGTCTAATACCTAATAAAATATAACAATGCTGAAAACAATCAAACATAAACAATCCTTTAGTGGAGCAATATACACACCTTAAATAAATAAATACCTATATGATGCCAAAATAAGTTTTACATAATTTGCAGCAATGTTTTGTAAATAAAATTCAAATTTGAGAAAATAACGAGCGATTGAAAATAAGTCTGCTGAAAATCAAAACACCGACACTTATCCCCGGCACTTCACTTGGCTATTCGTGTTTGCTATATGTAAACTTGATATCAGTCTGTATTTTCAATCGGTATAAAGCATGATAAGGTCAAACTGTTATCAAGTTTACAAATAACAAATATGTACGAATAGCCAAGTGAAGTTCCCGAAAAACCGATAGCTTTTGCTAAGACATATTACGAATATAGCCTTTAATGTAACAGCATAAAGTCCCTGCTAATGTCAATAAGTGGTGTCTACTATTGCAGTCTCGATTTACTAGCAACCTATAAGTCAATAGCATGATAGCAGTCAATAACGAGCCTTAGGTCCGCTTGCGGCAATTTTGCTAATCTCAATTTAACTAAAACTAGATTTAGTTCATAAAATAATTCAATTTGACGTTCCTGTATGGATTACGCCTAGTTTTAGTTAAATCTATATTTGGCAAGATTGCTGAAGTGGTCCTCAGTGACAAAAACACGTCTATACAAAATGAAAATTATTGTATAATACTTTACCTTTTCCAAAGTGGATATTCCTCCATTCCTTTGCCAGTAATTTATGATTTTAATTAGCATTACATTTATTACATAAACAGTGCCCTTTTTCTCATAGTAATTAATTAGTCATAAGATTTTCAATATGGAATGTACAGTCAAAACGATAAAGAACTCTATAATATAGAATAACGAAAATTATACACACAACCACCAAATACATAAGTGTAATCAAAAGAGATGGCATCATACATAACCTAATTGTATGAAAAAATTATACACACCACATATTAGTATAAGTGGAATAGAACAATAAAGCTCAAACATAGGACAAAATAATTATGGTTTTTAATACATTAGAAAGTTTCTATTATTCACTAATAAATATTTTATGTTATAACTATCACTAGACGCAATCGGAATAAAAATTGCTTAATAATCACACGCATGCTTGAAATTTTTAAAAACTTATTACAAGAATTAAGAATGAAAACATCTTGGAAGATCCCTACTGTAATAAAATGATTATAATTTTTCTAATGACATTTTGTAATGAAAATGACAGTAATAACCTAATAACAGGACTATAGTGTTTCGACAAATTTTTAAGCAATGAAAATGTGAAAATATTATGTTATTCACGCTATTTTAAACAATAAATCCCAATTAAAAGGTTGCCCTTCTACAATAAATAATTCCTATTAAAATGCCTAAACAACCATTCAGATTTTTAGGTAAGTATAAGATCTTTTCTACACAACAAAAATCTTCGCATGAGGTTTAAGCCAAATTTATGGTTTTGGGCATAAATTTTTTTATAATGGGAAGGGGCCTGTCGTCTTACTGGGGCATAATATTTTTTTTATTCTAAAATTAATCCTTAATCCTCATCTATATGATATTAGTTGTTGTGTTAACATAAACAAAAGTGTTACAAGGAATGCAAATTGATAACTCTCTACCTGGTGGAGTACTCGTGAGACTCGAGTCATTTAGTATTTTACTTAATGGCGCGATTACACTCGGTCGCTAGCCCGAATACGAGTGCTAGTGGAATTCTGGTAAACGACTAAGTGTAAATGAACGGAGTCGAGTACGCCCGCATTTGGGTAGTTTTAATTTTGCTTACCCGACACCGTGTTCCAGCCCGTATGGTAGTGTAAATATATTGCTTCGGGTGCCCGAATTCGAGTAGCGTTTTGTGCACCCGAATACAGGCTAACTACTAAGTGTAAAAGAGCCATCAGTCTTAAAGGCGAGATACTACTTGATTTTAAAAACGCATTGACTACAACTACTGACAGATTCTTGTAAAATCAAATTTATCTCGGATCTTTTTGGTTCCAAAACTTAGTATCGAATGAATGCAGACTCGTATCTTATATGGACATTGTTACACAAATTCAGACCTAAGCCCCACTCGAGCAAATTCAAGACACATTTTACGGAGTTTTCATAATAAAATCTGTAATGCAAAAAACCCAAGTTTCGTATCCCATGTTGTTAGTCGATTTTTTTTTATTATTTTTAATAATATTACAGATTGAATCCAATTTGCACAATATCGTCCATAGAACAATGAACCGTCTTGCAAAAACCTTACTAATACTGGATTTAGCTACTTACATTACAATATAATAAGTCCACACGCACTAGAGATGCAAAATGTCTTTATTAATTCCAACCAGATCAATGCGACACCTTTACGCATATATTTTCATTAAAAAATGGAGTGTCTTTTATTAAACCTGGTCATAGTTTCAAATACTGTCAAAAACATTCAGATGTTACATTTTATAGCATTAAGACAGCACCAAAACCAACATACATACAAAGAGTTTATCTATATAAGTTTTAATTAGAGGACAAATAAAAAAACTAAGACTGTTCCAAACGACTTAGTTCCTTATTTTCACTAGTGTAAGGTTTAACCTATTGTTTGTGTTACCTTTATATGTAATTATCATCTATGTGTTAAAAATCTAAATATTATTTTCACTAAATACTTGTGTATAATATTGAGATTTGGCTTTTTTGTTATAATTACTAGTACTTACTAAAATCTTGTACAGAAAAGTGTGAAAGTGAAATGATTAACTTCACATTAAGTCTCAAACCAAATTATTCTGAGTATTTATAGGTGATAAAATAATCAATTAGTAATTATTAAAAGTGGAGAAATTTTTGATAACTCTCATGATAAATTGGTTTGAACGGACTAACTAATACAAGAACTTTGTCTATTGAAAAACTGTCACTTATGTCATTTGTTAACACTACTCCATTTTGTGAACAAATGAGCACCTGTATTTATTATTATTCACTCTCACTTATAAACACACTGTATAGTAAAAAACTACCCATGTTTAAATTATTATCTAAGCACTACTTTCTCCCACTAAAGCAAAACATCTACATCATTTTCAATATATCTATTATGTACATTGAAAGGCAAGATATCATTTGGTCGGGCATTAGCTGGTTTCCTTATATTATTGGACTCTGCACTGCTGTCAAAGTTTGCGATAGTGGATACATTAGCTATTTACACAAATATAGCTCTTATTGCTATGTAATAAAATCACTGTTGATGTAAAAATTGTATCCACTTATCATTTCAACGGAACTACGACCTCAACATTAAAAATCATACTGTATAAAAATTACTTTTGAGCAATGTGATAATATAATTCATTTGTGAATGTTATTCCAACTAGTGTAGTGTTTAATTTTAATTAAACTTTCTGTAACCGAAAAATAAAAGTCTACAAATCACCTATTAATGTTGTAATTTTTTGTGCTGGTATTAAGTGTTAAAATTGCGTATTACTCCACAAATTGTCTACTGCATATTGAAAACTAAGTTACGTTACTTTTAATTCTTCTTCTATTTTTTTCACTAGCGCCATTATAATATTAGGCACAAGTCTGTTGGATACTTTCAAAATTTATTGAAATACAGCATCACAGTTTTCTCAAAATGTTTCGTAATGTATCAATTTCGTTAATTGAAGATTCATTAAATTTATGATTTCTGTTTGAGAAAATCAATTAGATTATATGATCAATAAGGTCGAATATTGTGTACATTAAGTATCTTTTACCTTACTCAAACAATGTCACTTTTGCTACTGTACTGTACAAAAGATACTGTACTTTCGGTTAACTTTAAAGTGTGCAATATTTCCAGAATAAATTATTGTTCTAAAACCTACAGCATTCACTTAAGGCTATTCTAGCGACTTATTTGACAGTTTTCATGTTGTTAACAGCGGTCTAAGGTGTTGCATTTATTAGACACAGTAAACTCTTAATAGCATAATAGAATTAAAAGTGCTAGCATATAACACCACTCAATTAGTAAAACACTTTTAAACGGCTTTTTATCAATACAAAATTACAAGTAATGTGACCACGAAACCTTGGAGGTCGAATAAGTTAGCTACATTTGTGATGAGCTCATAATTAATATTTTGACTTCTGAAACTCGTTTTTGTATGATCAAAATAGCCACATAACTTCTAGACTTCTAATAAAATATAAATAATATTAATAAAATTAGATTATTAGATAGTTAGCTTATTATGACAAACAATAAAAAATGGGTTGTAAAAGTCAAAATTTATATTAAGTCCACACAAATGTAGTTACATGTTAAAAGGATTTTAAATTTCAGGGACGTAGCGTATGTTGTTGAATGAGAATTATATAGTTATCCAGTTTAAAAGTGTTCCATTAAAAGAGTGCTAACACAAGTTTCATGAGACCGTTCCGCTATCGAAAGATCCCGTTCCGCAGTGTGGGTACTACCGACGTCGACGCACTCGTTCCGTTGCATTTCGTCGCCGTGCTAAAGAATAATATACAAATTATATTAATGTAAGTGACAGTTCAGGAGGAGAGAGATTTCTCTCTTTCTCCGAAACGAAATTTCGGTAACGAACGAATTTAAAACAAAATTTTGCCAGTGACTCTACTCTATTTTATTTTCGAACACGCTCATAAAGTTCCGAACCACAAACAATTTTCGTGAACGAATGGCATTCCATTTGACTCATTAGTCATGTTTGTGAGTTCTTTTTATGTTTACTTTTTACCCGGCTGCGCAATGCAAGAGCGCGAAGCGCGACGCGCGACGCGCAGACAGGGTTATTAAATAATATATTTTACTTTGAAAACAATGTTTATGACAACATGTTTTATTAAATTGAAAGAACATTTTTTGATGTCGTCGTGTCAATCGATTGTATGTCAACCTAAATTTTTCGTTTAATATTTTGAAGTATTGGAAATACATGGTATAAAATGTTCCTCGAGCTAAGCAGCCTGGATGAAAAATACTAATACTACTAATAAATAAAAATAAGCAAGCATTTTAGACCTAATTCAAATAAAAATCCCAAAACGAAAAAGAAAAGGTAACACTTTTCATTTCGTCAATTTGAGGTTAAAATTTCGAACAATTATATGTCAAATTCAACTTTTCGTTGGAAAGTATTGTGAATTGGAGTAGGCTTGGAGAATTTAACTGTCAAACTATTTACGGACGAACGAATTTTCGAAATGAAAAAGAAATAAGAGTAAGAAACGTGCGAAATTTCGATCGAAACTTCGCACATTTCCTACTTCGTTTCTGGTTCGTTTTAAATTATAATAATATTCGTCGTCGGAATATAGATTGAGGTGTAGATTTTCTAAGCCTACTCAAAGAAAGTTTCAATTTGATAGTTTATCGTTCAAATTAAGTAAAACTTAAAATTGAAGAAATTTAATTTCGTTTGACCTTTGTTATCGAAAGTTCGTTTCGGAGAAAGAGAGCAGGCCCCCAGGGAGGGCGCCTCTGTCTAAGTAAATGACATAAAAAATATAACGTTAACAGAGAGGAAAAAGTCGAAAGCCATACAGCCAGATTTTAGCATTTTTTATTAGCTATTTTAAGTGTATACACTGTTATCCCTATCGCACGCTACCTGACAATGCGCGACAGCAATTGTTTTTTCAAATACCTATTTCTCAAATGTCTCTTTAACATTAAAAGAATACTTACCGAGTCCACCAATCGCGTCGCCCGGCGTCCTCAAACCCTATTCCCTCTTCTTGCCCTTCTTCTTACCGACGCGTTTGCTATAATTCTGCGCGAGCGCATTCACTATTGAAACCACGAAGTAAACGACCATAGCCAACACGAACTTCTCCAATAGACTAGACAGCACAGACCCTTGGTTCTCGGGAAGTGCTTTGGCATCGTTTTTGTGTAAACGAGCTTTTTGGTTTCGTAGAAATTCTAATAATGGTGCTTCTAGTTTTGGCCCGATGTATGGTATCCTCTCGACCCATGAGAGAGCTTGTCTGAAAATAATGAATAGAAGATAAGTTACTTGGTTCATAAATATAACTTTGAACAGGGTTGTATAGCTTTTGGGTGTGCCAAAAGCTACACTTTACAGAAATTTGGTAAAAAACTTTATAATTATTACCTTTGGTTATGGTTGTAGAACTTTTAGGCCATGTTACTAGTTTTTCTTAAAACTTTGACGCAAAATCTGAACTGTATTTAAATGATCGTAAGGTGTTATTTGATAAATAAAGTAAAAAAAGCCTTTACTTTAAAAGCGATTCAATGAAAGAAAACATTGAAATTCTAGTTATAAATTTTATTTTTTAAGCATTTAACTGCTCGATGTTTAAATCCAAAGAAAATATAGCTAGAAAAAATTCCACGCGGACCAGGCAGCAGACGGGACTCGAACCCGCACCCTTCGCTATGCTGGCGAATGCACTGACCAATTATGGAACCGCGACCCTGATGGCCGCGTCTAAAGATTTCTAGCCATTCTTAAGCTGCAAGGCAGCGCCATCCCTTCGCATTGTAGGTAACTTAAGAATAGAAGAATTTCGACGCGCCCATCAGCATCGCGGTAGCATAATTGAAATTCTGTTAAACTATTTTTCTCCAGAGTATGGCAAGTAAGTAATATTACGAGTAATATACAAAAGCACAAGAAAGGAGACCAGATTCCCCTTTGATTTAATTGATTAAAACGAAGAACAAAATATCACTTCAAAAATAATTTAACATTTTATACATACAACAGTACCCTTAGTACGAGTTCTGATGGTTTTCGAAAACTATGATCGTCTCGTTTTGTTTCTATACATTTCACACCAGCGCCTCTAGCGGAAACTAAACTTTAATCGGCAGTATAAGTTAATTTAATTAATAGTTAGATATCCATATTAGACAGAAGTCTGTCCTTTTTTCTCTCTAAGATGGCAAAAGAGATGAAAATATGCATCTTGAAGTTCGTACTATCGAGTTCTACTACTACGTTCTATCATAGTATTCGTAATTTTAAAACTCGTACTAAGAAATGTAATGTAAATAAAAGTGTCTGTAACTTACCCAACTAAAGTCTCATTGAAGGCGACGATAACGAACACCTTCTGTATGTGCATTTTGATTACGGCTTTGCCTAGTACGGTGGCGCCGAAGAAAGTCCAGAATGGCACCAAGAAATGGCCGCAAGTCAAACCGGCCAAGTCGAATAGTGGGTTAGGAATAGACGCACAAGCTAATATGCCGGCGAAACCGACGCGTTGTACCAGTTTCTGTACCATCACTTTCGCCCTGGGAAAGAAATTTGATTTCAATGGAATTATTTTAACTTTACAGGATGGCGCAAGTGGTTAGCGCGTTCGGCTGCGATCGTTGAAGTCAAGCAATTTTCTCAGTGGTCGGTCATTGGATGGGTGACCACAAAATTACTATCTCGAGCTCCTCCGTGCTTCGGAAAGCACGTTAAGCCGTTGGTCCTGGTTGCATCTGCAGTCGTTAGCACCCAAAAATCCGCACTGGGCCGCGTGGTGGGTCATGGCCCAATCTCCCTATTCCATCCATAGGGAAGGCCTGTGCCCCAGCAGTGGGGACATTAATATGCTGATGATGATGATGATGATTTTAACTTCATAAAAGATGAGTTTAAAATATTTACGTCTACACAAATACCTATACTAGATACTATATTAACACTTAAGGACTCGCTAATGGGTCCAGTGGACCCAGTGTCTTGTATTTTGTTGAATTACTTAAAAATTATGAAGTTTGCGATGTTGCTGCTCTTAGTACCTTTCGACAATAGTATGAGGCGATAGATCGCCATCTTAGCTGTCAGTTAGCGCGCTGCCTGTGAGTGCTATGGACGTGAAAGGTGTGTATGGGTCCTTTGGACCAGGTAGCGACTAAATACGTTAGTGTTTTTTTTCATCTAGTTATTTATGTTTATTTACTATTTTTCGTTTCATTGATGGTAGAATTATTGGACAATTATAGCCTGACTTGCTTAGGAACTCTAAAGAAAAATAAAAGAGAGATACCTCTAGAGCAGGGGTTCCCAACGTTTTATTGGTTAGGGACCACTTTTACATTATTTTTTTTGGCAGGGTCCACTATTTAGTCAATAAATAACTAAATTTTAGTGTAATAAAAATAAACTGTAATAATCAAACTGAAACTTTCATTAAAAATCTAATATGAAATTAAATAAAAAGAAATAATAACATTTATAGTGGGTGCGCCCGCTAACCATATTTTGCGGACCATATTTTGGCTTCTGCGGACCACTGGTGGTCCACGGACCACTGGTTGGGAACCATTGCTCTAGAGTTTACACAAAGAAGAGGGAGGCAGGATCGCGAAACGTACTTTGGATTTCAAAATGATGCCACACTAATATCTTACGTACCCAAACATGGCAAAATAGTTCTCTTAGCATCCACTATGCATCATGATGCCAAAATTGATGACAAAACTGGAGAAAAAAAGAAACCTGAAATAATAAGTGATTGCCTTCAAATGCGGAGTCGATGTAGTTGATCAGATGATTGGCACATGAAGACAGGAAAACCAAGGTTTTTTGCGTAAAATGTAATACCCCAGTTTGTGGAGAACATATGAAACAAATTTGTGCAAATTGTTATAGCTTAGTTTTATAAAGAAAAATGTAGAACTATGATGGAAAGTGATTATATACAAAAATAAAAATCTAAAATTAGTTGATTTTGAAAGTTGATTTTGCTTGTTCCTATGATGATTGATCTCTTAATTATATTTTATCTTAGTAGATACATAATAGTAGTATATTAAAGTTAAGAAGATTTTGTTAAAAATATATCGTTACAGATTTTACAGCTTTATGTTTAAGTTTAGTCGTAAAACTATGCCAAGATTTGGTATATTTTTGTACTGACCATTTGATTAAGTAAAACAATAAATATTCGTATTTTATTAAATATTTGTTTATTTTTTGGACATTATTAACGATATTTAAAAACACCAACCATTTTCATTGAGAAGTTTTCGAATAAACACGTAATATTGTCTGGGTCCCCAGGACCCGGTAGCGAGTGTTTGTGTAGCAATTTGAAGCGCGAGTCCCTAAGTGTTAACTGCATGATAGCGGCTCAAAATTGTTATTTATGATATTACTGCGGTAAGTTGGTTACTACAAACGAGAAGACGAATGTAAGCCGGAGAGGAAGTCGAGGGTTTACTGCAGTAACGAATTCGTAAATATCATTCAATGTACTAAAAAACAGTACCTAATTTAAGTGACGAAGCAAACTTTTTCTAATAAGTAAATGGGGCGCATTTCTAAATGGCGCCACGTATGTGTGGTGAAAATTAAAACTACATATTTGGTCTCTTTCTCATTTTAGTATTAAAGTAAGACCAAGGTATAGATTAAAAGCGGTTACGCGGAGATTCGGCCGAAATAAATAAATATTTCCAACATTCACACCAATTAGCCTAGCCCCAAAGTAAGCACTGTAAGGCTTGTGTTATGGGATACTAGGGTAAGGGATAGAATACATATATTGTACATATATAAGTATATTTTTATATAGAAATACATATTAAACATCCATGACTGGAGTACAAATGCTCGTATTCAACACACAAACATCTGCCCCCACCAGGATTCGAACCCGGGACCTCCCGAGTCGGCGACACCATGAAACCCGGCGTACAAACCAATCGGCCACGGAGGTCGTCTCATAAAAAAAAAACTTAGAGGATACGCACGGCGCCATGATACAAATATTTACATATATACCTGCCAGTTTTCGTGTCATCATTGACAGACAACTCGGCCACTCCTCCCCCTGATAACCTCGCCGCTCTGGCCATAAAGTAGGGGGGTAATTCTCCCAAAGCCGTGCCTATACCCCACATCATAGATTCCACCCGGACCTTGGACATAATGTTCCATATCGACACCGCGTTGTTGGGGTCTATCTCCGTGGGGCAGATGATGCTGGAAAAGAAATACATCGTTTAACGACTCCAATCTGGAAAACCCTTATTTCGTATGTAAAAGGCGGCCGCTATAGCTTAAAGATGATTAATATAACAAAATTATACTCGCACCGTTGTCTAGGTGCTAACTGTATTAAATATTGTTGGAAGAAAGTATTCTGGTCAACAACAAAAATAATATGAGTGTTTGGGAAAATTTAGTCTCGTCGAGCTAATATAAATTGATTTGTAAATTAAAAAAAAATGTCTCGTTAAATGTAGATATGTAGGTACCTTTATTTAAAAATAAATAGCTTTATAATATTCCTCTACTTATACTTACTCATTCGGATACGGTGGTTCAGGAAAGTTGAGCCCGCCACACTCGTAAGCGGCCAGAGTGACGCGCGCGATATGAGGTCCCAAGTACAACAGGAACGTGTGCAGACCAGTGCCCAGACCCACGGAACTGCACACGCCCAACACTATCCACCACCCCCACCACGCCAACGTCGATATTACGAGCTATAAAAAAAGACGAGGAATTGAATAAACCCCTTTTGAACTGCTACACATACTTACAAGCTAGAACAAACAGGAGAAATTAAATAAACCACTTCCGATTGGCAGATCTATAAGATTTCGTAGCCTCACTGCAAAAGGATAACCTTGAGCATTCAGTACTAAGCCGTATAGAAAGTTGAGGACGTCGCGATCGTAAGCGGCCAGTGACACGCACGATATGATGTCCGAAGTACAACAGGTACAACAGCAGTCCAGTGCCTAGAGCTGCACACGCTTAACACTACCCACCATCCCCACCACGCCGACGTCAAAATTACGAGCTACAACAGAAACGAGGCAACACTAAACCCTATGGGAATTTGAGCCAGGGCGGACCCTGGGGCTAAAAGCAATAGCATAGCAAGGAGCGGTAGACTACGAGGGGCTAGTGGCTGTGCTGTGGCTGTTAGTAATGAATATTTAGATTTAAGGGTGTAGGGTGGTAATAAGTGCGTCCGATTTTAAAATACGCCCCGCCCCGAGCTCCAAATACAAGAAGAACGTGTGAAGTTCAGTGCCCAGAGCCTAAATAAATCCCTGAACCATCCCTACTAAGATTTCTTCTGTACGACCTCTTTTGCTACAGGCGTTACAAAACATTGCATTGCGTAACGATTTTAGTTAAGAATGCAGATTTATAGAGCTAAAGATTCCATAAAATACAGTGGTTCAATTTTTGTCCTACGACAAATATTGACGAAGTTGTGGCCAACTATAACTAAACGAATTTTCGGCTGGCCGCGTGCAATTTACATTGAAATGATATTTTTCCTTATCAGTCTGGATATACTAGCCATGTTGACTCTTGTTAAAAAAGTTTTAGAAACATTGGTTTATTTACCTTTTGTCTCAGAGGAAGTTGAATAGAGTATAGTTGCCTCTTTTTAATACACTATTCTTACCTCACGTGGGAACATAAGGCAAAAAGGTCCAATTACAGTAAGGCAAAAGCTAAGTTACTAGTACTAGTTGTTTGAATAAAAGTAAAATGAGTTATTAATAAGAAAAATCTTAAATTGTCATTATGATAAAGCTATAATTATATAAAATGTATGTATGTAAAACATTTACCTGTACATACACTTGATGGGGACCGCTAATATAATATGACACAGCTATCCCAAGCGCTAACGATACTACAGCTAACGCTAGTAACTTGTAAGCTAATAATCTGTAAAACAAACACAGTTATTAATATTACACATTAATATTGGATTAGTGAATACTGATAAATAATGTCTGAGTATTTATATAAGGCGCGGGACACACAGAAAAGACGTAAGACGCAGACAGAGTTTTTTTATAGCCAGGAAGGCAAATGACTCTACCCCACCTGATTATCACCACTTAACAGTGGTGATAAAGTCCAAACGAAGCTAGCCGGCCTGCAAAATTGCTTCTTCACGCCCCTCTGTAGATTATTCAGTAACCGCAATTAAAAAATAAATAAAAAAAGACATTGTCAGGATAAAATGTAAAAAACAAAAAAGCGTCGTGTTCGCGCCCTGTCTTTTCTATAATATTATGTTAAGCGACGCGACGCTTCTATACATACATTTTATGAAAAGGAGGCGTAAGAGACATTATTATGTATGCGCCCCGTCTGTGTATTACGTCTTTTCTGAGTGTCCTGCGCCTAAGGCAGACTAATGCTCGCGCACTCAGAGCAGTAAATATCAAATAATTTATTTGGTTATCATGATCTATATCATATTTCCAAGATGTTAAAAAAAAGGGTAGTGTGAGTATTTAACTAACTTAATCTTGTTTTTGTATTAAACATGAAATTATATGATATTCAAAGTGCGCACATTTCGTGCTATGATATATCAATAAAAAATAAATAATACATTGCAGGTACGACGGTGCGAAGGAATTTAAAAACTTATATTGAATTAACATAGCGATTACTATAGAATGTAGATGATATGGATTTCTTTTTTCTTCAATTTTATATCAACAGCTTTATAACACAGTATAGTAAGATAGCTACATTCATATTAGTGTGTGTGTCAGTGTGTGTAAAGTAAAGTAAGTTACAACTTCAACTCCAGCAACTGCAAAATTTTATGAATATTGCCTAAGAATGGAATACAAACCTTTGTAATCCTGTTGAGATCAATATGAATAGTTCCCTAAGGAAATAGTCCAGCGTCGTGAGCGGCCGCCGCCATAGCACCAAGCTGTCAGCATCCATTGTCACCGATTTGCTCCTGAAAATCACACATTCATAAATAAAAATATTATGATAAAAATATTAACATTTGGTTGCTGTCCCAACTGCTGGAGAATAAGCGACATCATATCACTCTATATATACTCGTAATTGATGAAGCAAGACTTGTCGCTCCATAAAGATAGATGTAGAACCGTTGCTGCAATCAAAAAGTATGGTAGCCAACGTCACGCAAGAGAAATTCTAAGGCCAACATTTTATATATGCAATGCTCGACCAACATCAGTGGAACCGTGGCCCCCGAGCTACCATCACCCAGCTCGGAGGAATCGTCTCCTTTGGCATTCCATAGGTCCAATTCTAATTAATTGTTACCAAGAAACAACCATGGAGCAATGCTCCATGTTATACAACCCTGTTAACTTCTTGAGCATCGACCATAGACAAGAAAGCCTGCGCAGCAGCAATTTTACGTACAAAATTGTCTACTGTACAAGTTTATTTGTCTGTAGTTATGCTCGAGAAGTTTGCCGCTACCTATAACAACTAATAAACAACTACAAATGCGTCTCGGCCCAATGTTACCGTACCTCGTTTGGCATTAGTTATGTTAGGACTGTTACGTGACTTATGATTGTTTCCTGTATAACTTTAGTAACAGTTTCCTAGGTCTATATAGTTTTTGAAACCTACAAATACATTACTATATTGTCATTGTTTAATGATTGTATTTCACAATCTGCTCGGGATGTTTTTCTCATTTCCTCTTCAGCTTGGAATTTTGGAAACATAATGTGCCCGTAACTAAACCTTAACTTAAATTTGAGAACAGTATATCACCCCGCCCCCCTTGTTGGTGACCAATCGACTTATTTTTGTATCTCTGTTGTAGGGGTCTTGTCTTGTGGGCCACGCCTGCCCATAAATGCGGCCCTGATTACACGTAGTTGCTAAAATTCTGTCGTTTTGTGCTCCGATTGGGCGTGTTCGCGAGACACGCTGAATATGTGAAACGTAAAGCATTACATCATATTTTATTCTGAAACAACTTGTGATTGTGAGGGACTATTGATGCTTAACAATGCTGCCGTCCTCAAAATAAAGTGCGGCTAAGTGACATGTGATCGATTTTTCAGTGTTAAATTGCATCTTATACAGTTTTTAATTCTCTATCGATCTGTCTTCAACAAGTACTTGTATCTTTTATAGTTTAAGTCTAAAAATCCGTCATGTGATGAATGGTTACAAAATAGCAATTATTTAAAGTTTACGCGTCGTTTTTGGGCCATACCTCAACAGTTAGTTTTGCCATTTAGCACCGTTTTAGCTTGAGGACGGTCGAATAGCACGCAGGTTGTATGCATTAAAAAAGCCTGCGCAGCATCAGAAAGAAAGTTCACGACCGTCACGATGCCCGTTATGGTCAGCGAGCGAACAACGATTAGATGCGTTACGCGCCTTTCACGGCTCTCGTGAAATTGTTACATGAAAAAAGAATATAACGGCAGATACTGCATTACGGAGACCATTTTTTAAATATCAAAAGAAAAATAAAAGCAAAATTGAAATTGTAAATTTAAGCATTCGATGATCGATCAATGATGGATGATCGAGGCTTTTTTAAATCTTAAATCATTAGTTTGCTATTTGCCAATTTGACCGCAGGTTTTCCTTATTATTCTCTACCTACAGGGAATGAAAAGGGGAGACTTATCAAGTTTACAAATAGAAAATACGAATAGCCATGTGAAGCCGGCCTTTGCCGCATTCATAAGTTAGTTCTCTAACTACCATGCTCGGTCCATAGCGTGAAAATAAGCCGTATTCAGAAATGTCAAATTGAATGCTTCATTTATTCAGGTGTTATCTCATTCTATTGTTAAAAGACACGCATAGAAAGTGACAGTGGTGTCGATTCTGGCATGATTATCTTAACTTAAAACTAAATTTAATTTTAACATCACTCTCAACTTTTCATTATGTACAGAGAATGACAAGGATACACGATTAACAAATTTAATTTTAGGTTTAAAGAATCATTCCAGAATCGATACCAGTATTAACTTTTCTAAAACTTAAGTTTATTGACTTTTCTGAATGCGGCCGTAAGGACATAGCGACGCGTCATGTTTTTCGCCTTGGTAATACCACAGATTATTTAATTGTTAATAGCTTAACAGTGGAAAAATATAGATGAATTTTCTACAGGCAAAAAACATGAAACCGGGTATTAGAGAATCGCTTGTTGAAGCGCGCCGAATAAGTGGGATTACTTTAACAGTGGGAAAATAGAGATGTATTTGCTACAGGCAAAACAGACAAAAAAAAACACTAAACATGTTGCTTTGACTCTGCGCCAGTATGAGTTGAGCCTTTATTCCGATGAAGGGAGTAAAAATACAAAATATCCACGACAATGACCAACGCCGCGTTGGTTTGCTGTTAACAAATCCTCGCGACGCAGGTAATTGCGTGGTGCATTCAGCAAGCGACGTGTAGCCCGAGGGCCGCTAGTCGGTGCGGGTATACTTTGACGTACACTCACGCAAGCGTGGCTTACTTCCAACCACCCCGCCTCCGACCAGCAGCCCGGTCCGCACGCGCTTTAGCCGATCCTGGGCTTCTCCGTTCGCAGCGTCACCTGACTAGTCTCACGGACCGCAGTCCGAGCGGCTAGCCATCCAACCAGCTCCCGTACCTAACAGGTAAACCAACTCCCCGATCTACCCCTCACCCTCCAGGCGTAACTGCGGGGTCCAATTATGAGTCGCCGCTTGTTACGCCTGGGTTCCTACCCCCTCGCGATGGTGCCGCGGAACACCCCTTCCCTGGCAGTGACAGAAGATACCGCTAGAGGACTAGCAGGCGGGCTCGGCGCCGCCGACCAGTCTTCAGTGTGAGTTGAGCCTAAGGAGGCGTTTCCACAGAAGCGAAGCTACACACAAAATGTATTTTTAGCAATGCCATTTGGTCAATTTCTTCAAGACTCTGCTCAGCTCCGCGTAGCTTCGTTCTGTGGAAAAGCATCCTTGCTCCAAGAAGGAGGTTGTGCTTTAAAGTTTCCTAATATCTTTCAAGACTTTTAAGACAGAAGAGAGGTACGTAGTAGTAGGCATAGCAAAGGAGAATGCCCATCGTAGTATGGACTGTAGTATCGCTACGAAAAATTTTGTACAATAACGGTTTTTACCTTATTTTGTAGGGTCCTATGTGGACATTCAATAATTAAATATACTTTTTCTCTAGCTCGACGGGTAATACGAATAACGATATAACAAATGTCATTATATTAATAATTCTTGCCTTCCTTTTTTCAAGTTTATCTATCTATAAAATGGTTGGATCAAATCAAAAATCAACTCAGCTTAAAGGAATAGATGAAAATAATTATAAACACTGAAATATTTACCAAATAATCTGCTCGAAATTAGAACCGTCAGTGAAAAAAAAAACAATTTGACAGACACCGCTGGAAATATTATTACCAGTTTCTAAAAAAATATGAATGAATCGATATTCCTCTTTCCCGATTTATCACTACTGGTACAATAGTTAAATCCCGCTTAATTATTTATTACACTGTCATAGATTTATGATCATAGTAGAAGCATAAATGTTATATTTTGCACGTATAGCACATGTATAGCGCTATACGTGCAAAATATAACATAGTATATCTGATACATTATTTGTGTTAAATCTGTGGACGGTATTGCGTCATGAGATACTTAGTAAAGCAAAAAAGAATTTATTTTATTGATATCACACAGCGTTCAGGCTAGGTACAGGCAGATGAATGAGAAGTCCCCATGGAGTTCCTTTTATTATCAGCATGCAAGTTATGCATTACTCGTATGGATTATCGTCGGTCATGCACGTAGACATAAATGCATGTGATGCAGCATTTACGTTTAGGGCTGTATATGTGTCATGAACGACCCTAAAAAATCGGGTTTTTTAACAGACACCGAGCCGTTGCGATACTTTTTTTTCTGACTACCCCTCGATAATATGGACAATTATCCGGTAAATAAACTGTTAGCAGTCGATCTAAACGTGTATTATGGACTTTCGAGTCTATATCTATACTTAAGTAATAATCTTAATATACAGATCAGACTACTTTTACTTTTTTTTACTTTTACTTTTACTACTTTTTTTTACTTTTTTTGCGACAAATGTAATGCAATATAATATGTTTTCTTTAGCATATTGAATTGTACGCATAATCTAACTCGTTATTTTGATGAAATAACTACAAGTGCATCGATTATATTTTGATAAATCGATACGGTTATTACAAAACGGTAACACTGAGAAGACAAGTGTGTCAAAAATACAAATGAAATGGAAGTGAATGAATTACTAATTTTTTATAGAAATTTTTGTTCGGCGAAGTTAAAGCAAATTATTTAACATGGTTTTGTGAAAATTAAAAACTTGATTTTTGATATAAATTAGGTGAATGTACAAGGCCGACCAAGGACGATACTACCAATGGGCATTCTCCTTTGCCGCTCGAATTGGAGCGGCCATCTGGGGAAGTCACATCTACCTTATAACAGACTACAGTAAAGTAACACTACCTTTTGGTGGTGTTGTATTTCTGTCGGTGAGTAAGGTTTCAGGGCTTCACTGGGTAGGGGGTTGGGTTAGGGTAGGCACGGCGCGAGTGAGTTTTGTATCGCAAGCGTAAGATGGCCGCTTACCATCAGGCGGGCCATAAGCTTGTATGCCACCCTTTTAACATAAAAAAAAATAGTTTACAGTTTACCTAATATCTTTAGAGTGCGGCAGATGCACTCCGTTGCGCGTGCGCTGCTCGTCGACCTGCGCTGCCGCCGCCAGTTTGTAATACCCGAGCCGGGCGAGCTGATCAAAATAAACAATAACCATTTATTAAACAAACATAAACAAAATAGGTTAGTAAAATAATTGTGTTCTTCTTGGTGGTCAAGGTTTCGTGTGGTCTAAAACGGCGACATTGGATGTAATATCTAAAAAAAATATTGATCTAAGAACTCGTAGAATTGAATATAAAGACGTTACCTTTATGTGGTCATTTTAGGCATGTTCAAAAAATCCATCAAATGAATCTATCATTTGATGTTTCAAGGAATAGGTATCTTGTAATTTTAAGATTTGAAGTAATTAAACTTATTATTATGAACTTTATATAAAACATGTAAAGTAATCTCGCTGTTTTAGACGTAGCATGAGCACCACAATTTGCAACATTTAACTATTTTTATCGCTTGTTACTGTCAAACTCCATAGTATTTGACAATTAAACGTGATAAACGAGCTTGTATCATATCATATCGCGGTGCTCATGCTAGACGGGCACGTGTAACTGGTTTTTCGATCAGGGATAATTTTTAAGGGGTCAAACTACTCAACATGATAATCCCAAGTAGTCTGTTCGACCAGGGGAAAGATTTTTCTTGTTATTCGAGGAAAAAAAAAACACTATCATGAATTGTTCAGATTTCATGTGTGCAGAAGACTTTAAATTACTTTGATAAAAAATTGTGTCAAGTGGAAACGTCTCTGCTGTATAAGCTGTAATCATTTATTAGGCATTTATGTCGACGATATTATAAATATCGTTTTAATGGCAGCAGACAGTTTTTCCATATTACTAACTGTTAAAGGTTTCAGCACCGGTTTTTTCTTGTCATTCCTGACCACCAATTTGACCGTAATACAGAGATTTAAGGACATTTCGTATCACATTATGAAACTGGAGTTTCACAATATGATAGGTGCAGACCCAATAAATGATTATTTTATTAATATCTATTCTCAAATTATGAAATAGGGTTTCGAGTACAGCAAACTTCATATTAAAATATTGAGAAACCATCGAGGACAAATAAGTGTTTTAATTGTGACGGCATTTATGATTGGTTAATGTTGCGTGGTAAGACACAAAAAATAATTAATCCTTTTAGCAGACGGTGAACAATGTGCTCAAATCGCGTGACCACTCGTGCATATTTGCAAAGCGATCGGAAATGGATTGGGGTTCTTTTGCAATGCTTGTTGTCTTTATTCATTTGGCAATGAAATAATAAAAGAAAATTATTTTTATTTGAGACTAAAACACAACAACAATTTTATTAACAAAACACTATCTAAATCTAGCCCCAAAACTGCATGATGCTGACGTTGCCATCAGCGCTAGTCTTCTGTTGAAAACTTGGAACCCAACAAGTCACTGAGAATAATTGAGTGATAGTGCGCAAGCATGAAGTAGAATTTGTATACTTTTCCAAAACGGTGTAATAGTGAAATTTATACAGGAAAATTAAACTTAAACGCAAATCATAACACATAATTAGATTTTAAAGGATAAGTCTAAAATTTACAAATTCGATCAGAATTTCAGTTATCTAATTATAACTTTATCAATTTTGCAAACTGAAACTGATTCAACAATATAATTATATTAAGATTGAAAGAAGTAATAATTAATATTGAATTTTCTAATTAACTTTTGAATACGAACTTCGAGAGTCAATTTGGAAAGATTTGGTGGGTGAAACGGGTGAAACTGAGTTTATGTTGTTGTTTTTTTGCCAGGGATTTATACATTATAGCATAAATAATGATTTATCTTACTTGGATCTAAAATTGTCTCATTCCTATTAATAATCAATTACGGAAATATCAAAGTAGTTGTAAACCTAAAGATAAGGAATAAAATTAGGTACCCCAAAAAAATAAACAAATTCAAATAATAAGTAAGAGGGATTTTATATCAACAATAATAACAGTTGTGACTTAATCGTGACTGAACAGTGTGCTAATACAGCTATACTCTAAGTGTGTTCCGCGGAACCCTAGGGTTCCGTGATACCTCTGTCGGGGTTCCGCAAGAATTTAGAAATAAAAAAATCAAAACACCTCTCTCTGGTCGCTCCGCGGCTGTGCGGACTCCGCGGCCGCGCGGAGACAAAACGCTATGAATGTTATTTATTTATTTATTTGTATTTGTATAAGCTTGTGTTACATTAGCTGGTACAATATCTCATAAGTTTGGTCTCAACAATTTTATACTTGTACAACGCGTTCGCTCTAAGTTTGCCGGTCTGTGGAATGCGCGTACCCTCCCCCACGTGACAACAAAACTTATAATGTGTCATAGTTTTACCCAAATATCTAACGTACACAATTTTTATTGTTACAATTAAATAAAAATTTTCGAACGTCATACACTCATACCTATCGCCAGCGGCAAACTTAAAACGAGCGGGTAGTATACTTGTAAGCGCTCAGTCTCTTTGATAAAAGCCGCCTCTGAATTAGACGCTATAGTTGTCAACTAGCGACTTTCGTCTCTAACTTCAAAGGATAAAGTCGATATTGTTTACAACGCTATTTTTAAATTTCTGTTTTTATTTTTGCTTTTTGTTTATCAAAGGTGCCGACTCGAGTATTTTCGAGAATATTTGAGATCGAGTCTAGGACTAAGTATAAAAGCGGCGATCGCGCGTTGGCGTCGTCAGTTGATGATTAGCGTTCGGAGCGATAAGTTACTACCTACTTACAAGCTCGCTAGCGAGAAACTGGTGTTCATTGTTTTACTGCCTGCTGTATTCTGTTGTCTCAGTTTTATACATTTCTTCCCTGTAGGTTCTAAATTTAGTCTCTTATACGCAGTAACGATTGTGCATTATTTAAACCCCACTATCCTGACTTGTAACATTATAAATAAAGAAGAATGGAACGTTGGCTTAAAGGTGTTAAACGTGTTCCAACAACATCTTCTAATGACGCTGAATGTTCAAAAGCAATGCGCGCGGAGAATTTAGCAATCACCGATCCAGAAGATGATGCCACGAGTGCCACGACGTCAAGCTCGACGGTTTCAAAGACGAAAAAAAGGAAGTATGATGAATCTTATATCAGTTTCGGATTTGTTGATTCCAACGGCTCACCTCTCTGCATGCTCTGTAGTAAACTGCTTCCTAATAGTTCCATGGCACCTGCCAAATTGCGTCGACATTTAGAAACCGTACACCCCGAGACTAAAGACAAGAATAAAGAATTTTTTGTTCGCAAAAAAGATCAGTTATTAGAAAGTCAAAAAAATATGATGCATGTAACACAAACTACCAACGAAAAGGCCACGGAGGCATCATACTTAGTTAGCTATCGCATTGCACAAGCAGGTGAAGCGCACACTATCGCTGAGAAATTAATAAAACCATGTGTATTAGACATAACAAAATGTATGCTTGATGAAAAATCTGCAAAGCATCTTTCTACTGTTCCGCTATCAAACGATACTGTTTCACGACGAATCCATGATCTGGCAAGCTACGTCAAACAAGAACTAGTTACACGTCTACAAAATACACGATTCGCTTTGCAAATGGACGAGTCGACTGATGTCGCTGGTTTGGCTATCCTGCTGGTTATTGTGAGATATCCATATAAAAGTTCTTTTGAAGAAGACATGCTTATGTGTTCATCGCTGCTTACAAACACTACCGGGGAAGAAATTTTTAATAAAATAAATATATTTTTTGAAGAACATAATCTCAGTTGGAACAATTGCATTGACATTTGTACAGATGGGGCCAAGGCGATGACAGGTAAAACAGCAGGAGCAGTGTCACGAATGAAAAATAAAGCGCCTAATTGTAGTTCCAGTCATTGTATTCTGCATAGACAAGCACTTGCGATGAAGCAAATGCCGTCTAATCTAAAATTAGTTATGGATGAAGCGGTAAAAATAATTAATTTTATCAAATCACGACCACTACAATCCCGATTGTTCTCATTATTGTGTGAAGATTATGGCAGCAAACATAAAACACTGCTGCTCCATACAGAAGTGCGATGGCTGTCTCGGGGAAAAACTTTAACAAGGCTATTTGAACTTAGAGCCGAGTTACAAATGTTTCTTTCAGCAGATACTTCTTTTAATTTGAAGGACCGTTTGTATGATAAAACTTGGTTGTTCCGATTGTCTTTTATGGCGGATATCTTTCAAAAACTTAACGAATTAAATTTATCATTGCAAGGTAAACAGACAACAGTGTTTCAGGCCTATAATAAAATAACTACTTTTAAAAGAAAATTAGATTTTTGGATCATTTGCATTGGTAAGAAAGAAATAGAAAGTTTTACGTTACTCACTGAGTTTGTTAGCGAAAACGACTCAGAAATGTTTGAAGATAATGTGTTTGAAGAATTGGTCCAATATCTCAGTTCGATGCGCGCATCTTTTGAAAAGTATTTTCCCGAAGAACACAATACAAAAATTAAAGTGAACTCCTGGATTCATAATCCTTTTTTACCCAACTTGGAAAAGCCTGAAAACATGTCAAATGAGATATATGAATCTCTTTTAGAAATGTCATCAGACACAAGTATGGAGTCATTGTTCAAAACGACGCCTCTTAATGATTTTTGGTGCAGAATCCAAGATGAATATGCAATGCTTGGCCAAATGGCTCTGGATATTCTTCTCCCGTTCCCAACTACATATTTGTGCGAAACAGGATTCTCTACCTACGCAGCCACGAAAACAAAATATCGCAATAGACTGGACGCCGAAGCTGATATGAGACTCCAACTTTCTTCCATCAAACCTGATATCAAGCAATTGATGAAAAATAAAAAACAGTTTCATACCTCCCACTAGTTAGATTTTTTCTTTTTTAATGTTTTCTATTATTGTCCTTACCAAGTGGTGAAGTAAATAATAATTAGTAACGGATACATTGTACTTTTATTATGCTGATTAATATAGAATACACTTATAAAAATAATTGTTTTATTGTAGGGTTCCATCAAGTATTTTGCTTCCCAAAAGGGTTCCGTCATTTAAAAAGTTTGAGAACCACTGTGCTAATAGT